TGCGGGTCGGGAGTCCTTCCTGTCAGACAGTCCCTCCTGTCCTTCCTTAATTTCCCCCACAAAGTGCCCTGGCTCAGTTCCCCAGGGGTTTGCCCTTCCCGTCGGCCCGACCTCTCGCTCCGGCCGGGCCGGGCGGGGTGCCCTGGGGAGCCGCGCCCAGCGCCGCCTCGCCCGCAGGCCTGGGCCTGGCCCTCAACTTCCAGCCGTCGCTCATCATGCTGGGGCTGTACTTTGAGCGGCGGCGGCCTCTGGCCAACGGGCTGGCGGCGGCGGGCAGCCCCGTGTTCCTGTCTGCATTGTCGCCGCTCGGCCAGCTGCTGCTCGAGCTCTTCGGCTGGCGCGGCGGCTTCCTGCTGTTCGGCGGCCTCCTGCTGCACTGCTGCGCCTGCGGAGCTGTCATGCGGCCCCCGCCCGGGCCCGGGCCCCGGCCCCGGCCACGTGCAGACCGCGAGGAGGACTGCGCGGGGGACGCCCCTGGAGAGGCGGAGGCGGATGCCGAGGGCACGAGGCTGCGGTTGCGCGAGGCGCCCCCTGGCGGCCGGGCCCGCCGGCGCCTGCTGGACGTGGCCGTCTGCACCGATCGTGCCTTCATCGTGTACGTGGTCACCAAGTTCCTGATGGCGCTCGGGCTCTTCGTGCCTGCCATTCTGCTGGTGAACTACGCTAAGGACGCGGGTGTGCCTGACACCGAGGCCGCCTTCCTGCTGTCCATTGTGGGCTTTGTGGACATCGTGGCGCGGCCAGCGTGCGGAGCCCTCGCGGGTCTGGCGCGCCTGAGACCACACGTCCCCTACCTCTTCAGCCTGGCTCTGCTGGCCAACGGGATTACCGATCTGAGCAGTGCGCGCGCGCGCTCCTACGGCACCCTTGTCGCCTTCTGCATTGCCTTCGGCCTCTCCTATGGCATGGTGGGTGCGCTGCAGTTCGAGGTGCTTATGGCAGCTGTGGGTGCGCCCCGCTTCCCCAGCGCGCTGGGCCTGGTGCTGCTCGTGGAGGCCGTGGCTGTGCTCATCGGACCGCCTTCTGCAGGTGCCCCCCGCAGGAGGAGGGGATGGATGGCAAGGCTTAGTGCCACTTAGTCCCTGGGAAGCTCTCTCCCTGTCCCAAATGGAACTTTGGGGATGAGGGGAAGGGACCAATGACAGAGGCAGCTGGTGGGTGGACTCCCCTTGTGGCCAACCCCTCCCCCAAGCAGGAACCACCTGTGAGTGGAGAAGGAAAAGCCAGGGAGGAGCCAGGAAGAAGCCAACCTGATAAGGCCCCCAGCCACGGCAAGCAGGGGTGCAAAGGCCCGGGAAGCGTGGGTGCTTATTCTCATTTTGCAGATGGGAAAACTGAGGCACTGAGGCACTGCGGGCCAGGACAAGTTGCAGTCCCAGAGTTAGAGCCATAACCTGCCCATGCTCACTGTCCACCCCTTGAAAACAGTGTCTGGATGGCTTAGTTCCTGGGCCTGTAAGGGGGACAGCTATGATGTCTTTGGGAACCAGTCTCAGGGACAGTGTGAGGGTTCTTAGAGGGCAGCCGGCAGGAGGAGAGGCACCTGCGCCTTTCACTGTGCAGGCTGCTTGCAGGGCGCTCTCCGTCTATCACCTGCCTTGGGCAGTCACCATGATGATGGCCAGGGGTGGTGTCCTGTAGAGCTCCCTGGGGTGGGCACAGCATGAACAGGTGCAGGGTTTGCCTTGAACCTTAGGAGTGAGGCAGGACTAAGACTGGAGAGACGGGAGTCAGGGTCACGTGTCTTCCTGGGTTGCCAGAACAGCAGGATGGGGTAGTGACAGGGATGGAGGAGGCCACTTGTGCTGGGGCCCCGGCTGCAGCTGAGTTGGGGGGAGCTGCCCATCTTCCCTCCAGGATGGGACTAGCATTGCCCTCATCAAGCTTTATTAACCTGCCGGACCCAGTGGCACTCATGGGCATCCTAAATCCAGCCCCCAGAGGCTTAGGAGCCCACCTGCCATTTCTTGTCCCTGGAGTGGTTCTAATGACCAGAGAACGCATCTCTACAGGGCTGAGTTTGGGAGGGGTGGACTGGCTGGCTGGGCAGGGACCAGGATGTTTGGAGGAAGGCTGCTCAGAGGAATATAGGTGGGGAAGCTGGCCTGGGGGATACCAGGGAACTTCCTGAAGGTCACAGACTTGATTGGTCAGCTACAAGAATGCTCCAGAGAGAGGGTGGGGTCCCCAGAGGAACCACAATTTAGGGGATAAATACTTGCAGTCAGAAAAAATTTCAGGTGCCAGCATCTGTGAGGTCCTGCCTGATTCAATCCCCAGTGTGCACACATGCACGCATGAGCATGCGCGCAAGCACACGCGCACACACGCACCAGGGCAGAGGCTGAAGCCTGCTCAGTCGGGTGCTCGAGGCCCAGGGAGGGCAGGAGGCTGAAGGAGGATGAACCATGTCCCTGAAGACCAGGGCCGTATGCAGAGAGAGCAAGAGCTGGAGTCCCAGGAGAAAGGGTTGAACCAGGGCCCCTCCCCACTGCCACCTGGGCAAGTCACAGGACACTTATACCTGGACACATGCAGTACCTTCTATACTCTATAAAGAGCTGCCTCACCCCGAGTCCCACAGTGCTTAAGAGGCCCAGGGAGAGGGAGTGACATTTCTAAAGTCTCAAGGGGCAGAACCTGTGTGGGGCTTGGTGTCTGTAGAATAGGATAAAGACAGGGGCATGTGACAGTCACCAATGAGCCCTACCACATCAGCAGCGCTGCCTTTCACTGAGGGCGACCCGCCCAGGCCCTGACCTCCTGTCCCCACCCCCAGGCCGCCTGGTGGACGCACTCAAGAACTACGAGATCATCTTCTACCTGGCTGGCTCAGAGGTGGCCCTGGCGGGGGTCTTCATGGCTGTCGCCACCTACTGCTGCCTGCGCCGCTCTCGGGACACCCCACCTGGCCCCACCACTGGGGCCAGTGACACTGAGGACGCTGAGGCGGAGGGGGAACCTGAGCCCCTGCCTCCCGGCACCCAGGAGCCCCGCAGCCTCGAGAGCCTGGAGGTGCCCAGCCCCCGGGCTGGGTCTGTGGGACAGGAGCGGGAGGCAGACCCAGGGCGGAGCCGGGAGTCTGTGTAGCACTGGGCGCGACCCCAGGCTTGCCCTCTCAGAGGGCCTGGTCAGGGTGGTCCCTCCAGGGGGCAAGTTTGGGCTGCAGTTGATCCCTTGGGTATCCCAGGAATGTCCTTCCCGCTGCCGGCCTCTGTCCCCTCGCCAGTGAAGCCGTGTGGACTGACAGGAACTCAAATTGATAAAGCTCAGCTGAAGCACGAGTTCTGTGCCTGCACCTCCATCCGGGGTCTGGTCACCACCAAGTTGGGGGAAGGGTGGGGGTGCTGAGGGGTCTCCCCAGGGCCCCTGGCTGCTGGAGTTGGGCAGTGCCAAAGACAGATGGAGGGCCAGGGAGACGTCCCAGGCTGAGACCCGGGCTGTGGCCAAGCTGTGCACTGAAGCCCGTGGGCTGCCGTCTACCTGCCTCTCCCCGTCCAGGTGGCCGGGTGTTGGTAGCACCTTAGGCTTGAGGGTGGGTGTTGCTCACAGATGGGGGTCAGAGTAGCCTGAGAGAAAGAAGGTCCCAGGGTCAGCATGGGCACTGGAAGCTGTGCTGTGGCCTGGGCCACCTCCTCACAGAGCTGAGGACAAACAGGAGAGCATGGGGCCCTACTGTCCTCCCCAAGGGGTGCACGTCCCCTCCCTGTCCTGAAGGCACCCTTCCTCTTGAGAACTCACCTGTCCCTGGGGCTATTGCGCTGGACGGTGCTCCTGAGGACACCTGTGGCCTGTGGACAACCTGGTCATCACTGTCCTTGGCATCTATCTGCTTCCTCAGGAGTCTCAGTGCGTCTTCCCTCCTGCATTTGTCCCATGTGCAGGGACCTTGTCCTGCCAGCACAGCCCAGCCATGGTGGCCCTTTCCCACTGTCTGGGTGGACCTTCCTACAGGTGCCTGGCTGACCCATCCTTTATACCAGTCGTCCCCCCAGGCCACCAGAGCAACACTGCACTTAATGCCCCCGAGGGCTGACCTGGGGTCAAGCACCTTTCCAAATGTCAACTCCTGTGATCCCCAGCCACCCGCTGAGGCCGGGGCCATCAGTGTCCACCACTGCTGCCCACACTTTGCAGTCTGGGGAACTGAGGCCCAGGGTGGCAGAAGCCAAGTCTGTGGGGCAGGGTCAGTGCCCCTGGCTGCCTCTTCAGAGGTGGAGTGGCCTGTCAGCTCGGCAGGGACCCCAGGGATTCCTGGTGCCAGCCCCTCTCGCTCTGTGCCCTACACCTGCCGAGAATGCCACTGGGTTTGTGCCAGGACCGAGCTCAGGGCTGAGGAGAGCTCAGGTGCTCAGGAGTCACACCAGCTTCCGCCCTCGTCCAGGGGTCCGGCAGCCCCGCGGATATTCCTGGGCGGCCCCCAGGCTGCAGTGTCTTCCTCCTCCTCGTCCTCCCCATCATGAACTTGCCCTGCTGCCTCTCGCCCTCCCTCCTGTCCTCGGGACGACCATACTCACTGCCCTAATGGGGCACTTCAGCGTGAAAGGGCCACAACGTGGGTTGGACCTGGCCAGGCAAAGCAGGACTTGTGGGCCACCTGTCCTGTCACTTTATGGAGACCCAGAGCAGAGGGTGTCATTTTCCCAACACCCCCATGGCCACCTGATGCTAACCCCATCTCCACCACGGGGGGCCTCGGGCCTGACCAACATCTGTCCTGCCCTCCCCTCCCCCAAATAGGGGTTTACTTCATGTCCAGAAGCACCCGGGGGTCGAAGACGAGGGAGGATGTAAAGGACTCCGGAGGAAGGGAAAAGGTGACAGCCTGGGACCTGCAAGATGGTGCTCAGGTGCCACTCTGTCCCCTGGACAGCAGTGGGGACAACAGTGTGACTCCTCCTGCAGGGTGCTGCAAGGAATATGGGATCAGCAGTGACCCTGTGACCGGGAGGCAGGCAGGAGGCAGCGAGGCGCGAGGAGGGCCTGTGGCCATGCAAAGAGCCGGCTCCATCTGGTTTGTTTATTGATACAGGCCCAGGCCCAGCCCTGCTCCAGAAATGGCTGAGCTGGGGACAAATAAATAAAGGCCGCCGAGGTGTGGGGGGTGGAGGGGCCAGCGGAAGGGGTGGGGTTGGTGGGACCAGCGGAGGGTGTGCAGGACTCGCCTGCTCCCAGCAGGCGCAGCAGGTCCTGGGTTGGATGCCACCTGCAGCCCCTCGTCCTTCTGCCCTCTCCTTCCTAAGTAAGGTCCAGAGGCCTCGCTCTCCCGGGCTGGGGAGGTGAGGGAGGGTGGGCCGGTGTCCAGGGCTGGGCCTCAGCCTGGCACCTTTCCTGGGCAGGAGCCAGGTTTGCTGTGCGAGGACAGAGGAGCAGGGAGGCAGGCGCCCGAGCCAGCAGGCTTTATGCGCCACCACGTGCACCACTGCCCAGCCCCGCTCCTGCTGCCGTCTGCCCACTGCCCTTCCCCCCTGATCTGCACCCTGGGTGCTCAGGAGTCACACCAGCTTCCGCCCTTGTCCAGGGGTCCAGCAGCCCCGCGGAGATCCCTGGACGGCTCCCGGGCTGCAGTGTCCTCTTCCTCCTCCTCCTCCTCCTCCCCGTCAGTGAACTCGCCCTGGCTGAGGCCATAGGCCAGTGTGGTGTGTGCCAGGTCCACCTCGATGGGGAAGACGTCTGCGTCCCGCAGCACGGAGTAGCAGTCGTTGTAGTACTTGGACATGGTGGACACGAAGCGCTGTAGCTGGAACACGATGTCCTGGACTGGGGCAGGAGGGCAGGGGACAGGCCCGGTGGCTGTGTGCCTCGTGGAGACCCGTGAGCCTGCCCCGCCACCTCCTTCCCCTGGGCACTCAGCTGGCCCCTCAGGCCCTGGGAAGGGGCAGAGGTGAGCACCGGGCAGCCCGTGCGGCGGCCTCCCAGAGGACCCGGTGTCTTGGCCCCCAGTTGAGAGAGCAGAGGCTGCAGGGCATGGGGCCCCCTCCAGGGGCCCACCCAGACCAGGCTCGGGGAAGGTGGACGGGCAGCTGCCAGGGCCTGGCCCTGGGGCTCACTTAGGCACTTGACTTCTCTGGGCCTCGGATTTCCCATCTCTACAATGGGGAGAAGCAGGCCGCCACCCTGTACCAAGGCTGTCAGAGAACAGCCCACCACGGCCGCGCGCCTCTGTGCGCCTGTGCCCTCACCGTGCTTCTGATCCAGCAGCTCCATCTTCTCCAGCACGTCCTTGCGCATCTGGGAGAAGCGGGCGCGGGCCTCCTGGCGGCAGCGCAGGATCAGGCGATACTCGTAGTTGCCTGTGCTCACTCGGTACAGGGGCTCCCCTAGGGCCTGGGGCGGGGAGCACGTTAGGGATCCTGGGTGCAGTGGGGCCTGCTGGGTCGGGGGTGGGGTGGGGCGGGAGGGCTGCAGGGCTGACCCCCCAGCTCAGCCCCACAACACAAGGCATTTTTCAGAGCCACCACAGTCCCTTGTTTGAGATGCCAGCACTCATTAGGAGCCCATGGCAATAGCTTTGGAGGGAGAAAAATCCAGAAAAGACCCAAACCCGTCACATTAAACGAATGAAGACGGGTCCTAAGATTGACCCCAACAGCAAAGATATTGAATTGAGTAAATTAAAGTGCCACTCAGGAGTGAGGCTGGACAGCCTCCCTGCAGGGGCCTCACCTGCTTGGAGGTTGTGGGCGAGGAGTGGGACTGAGGAGTGGCCCCATGGCAAGCTGGCCGGCACTCCAAGGCCCAGAGGGACTGGGCGTGGATGGCCCCATGCTCCAGGAACAAGAGTCCGACCAGGCCCCCAGGACTTTCCTGGGATGGACTGACCCACCTGATGCCCCTGGCAGATCCAGGACATTCTGGGGACTCTGAGGCAGGTAGGAGAAGGTACGTGCGCCCCAAGCCTTTCCAATACAAGGGCTGGGCCCCCTCACCCCTCGATACTCACGATGCAGCTGTATTCCTCGTCGTCCATCTCCTTCACCTTCAGGCAGTACGACTGTGTGGGACAGGTGAGGCCAAGCAGTCAAGAGGCTGCAGCCTCCTGGACATCCGCCCCAACATTCCCAGCTCCGCCCATGTCACACCATGCCCCCAGGTGACCCAGGAGGCTGGCCCAGCCAAAGAACTGCAGTATGCCAGGCCTCCTGGCTCCTGCAGACCCCCGCTGGGATCAGCTGCGACCCATATGGGAGAGGCTGGTGGCAGGTGTGTAGGAGGCCTGGGGAGGCTAAGAGCGGCTGGGCAAGGGCTCTCTTTGGAAGGGAGGGCAGGCCTGAGGGCTTGGGTGGCTCAGAGTTGACCCAATTCAGGTCCCAAGGGATGCGCTGGGGGCTGGAAGCATGGTTCAGTGGTATAGCACCTGCTGGGCACCTGCAAGGCCCTAGGTAACAGCCCCAGGAATGAAGGGGAAAAAATACCCTGGGAAAAATGGTTCCCTCCAGAGATGGCACACAGGCCCAGCCTGGCTCTGGGAAGTCCCACAACGGAGCTTGGCTTCCCAACTCTTGACCACAGAATTATTACCTAAAACCAACATTCCCTGGCACCAATTGAAACTACCTAGACCTAGACATTATGGTTTGGATGTGAAAAGCCCCCTAAAAGCTCATGTGTGAGACAATGCAAGACACCGGGTTGAGAGACCTTAACCCAGTGAATTCGTCCCCTGATGGGATTAACTGAGAGGAGAAGGAGAGCAGGTAGGTGTGGCTGGAGGAGGGGACGCTGGGGGCGCGGCTTTGGGGCAGACACTTTGGATCTGGCTAGTGGAGCCTCCCTCTGCTTCCTGATCACCCCCCTCAACCAAGCTCTTCCACCAGGGTCCTGCCTCACGGTAAGCCCCAAGGAATGGCGCCTGCTGTCTACGGTCCAAGATCTCTGAAACCGTGAGCCCTAAAATAAACCTTTCCTCCTCTAAAATTGTTCTGGCTGGGTCTTTTAGTCGCAGTGGCAAAAAAGCTGACTGAAACACTCATTCACTATTAAAATGTGATTTAAAAAAAATTAAAAAGTCCCCCAGGGTCAGAGTGACGCGACCAGAGCTCCAGTACCAGCCCCAGGCCCAACGAGGTGCCTCTGCACGGCCAGCAGGCCTACGCTGCTCCCGGATCTCCAGAGATTCTGGAATTTCCATGTCCCAGTCAGATGTGACGGGGCTGTACGTAGCTGGATGACACAAGGCAGGGCAGGCCTCCAGCGGGGCTCACCTGCAGGCTACTCACCAGGTACTCGAACTTCACGTCCAGGTACTTCCTGATGGTGAGGCGAGTGTCCGGGATGGCCTTGTTGAGGTACGTGTTCAGGTCTGTCAGCATCTGGGGGTGGGGGGGACGTGCTTGGGTCTTCCCGACAGGGGGTGCCAGGTTGACAAAGAGTGGCACTGTGTCACCTGATTCAGGTGTCACAGCCCACGGACACTGCCCAATGGCCTTTCCCATCTCAAGGTTAGGACCAAGTCTAGGCCGTGATGAGCTGTGATCTGGTACAAGGCTGACCAGCCTCCAGGTCCCCACAGGCCTGAGCAGTGCAGCAGCCTGCTGAGGGCAGCCACGTAGGTGACCAGGCAGGACCCACACCCCAGCCCCTGGCTGCAGTGGAAGAGCCCTGCACGCCACGCTGTCCCCTCCCTGCCCTCACACGCTGGACGTACCGGCTTGATGGTCTTCAGCAGCCGAACGCCAAACTTCTCCATGCTGCGGTGGGCATCGGCAAACTTCACAAAAGCCTCGCTTGCTGCCGGCTGGGGCTCCCGCACCCCGATCACGGAGAACACGTCCCCAAAGGCTGCATGACAAGCATGGCTTGAAGGCTGCCCCCACCTGACCCCCTGATGGAAAGCCAGGGCGTCACCAGGGGGCTGGCATGCTGGAAGACAAGTCTACGTGGGGTCTGCACCCCGGGAGGGCATCTGCATCTCTGAGCAACGGCTCTGGAAGAACTGGGAGCACACAAACTGGGGAGCCGGGCTGCGCGCCCCAACGGTGGGACCAGAGGAGAGCTGAGCCAGCCTGAGGTGGTAGCGCTGAGGGCACAGCACTGGTCTGGGAATCTGGGTTCTGATGTCAGGACCATCCAGTGGCCATTTCCTGCCTGGGCTTCACTTCCCCACCTACAAATGGGGCTCACCGTGGATGTCCCACACAGTCTCCCGGCCTTGTAAGAAATGGGACACAAACGAGGGGAACGCATGCATTCAAGTGGCAACGTAAGGAGTAGGGTGGGCCCTCAGGAGGCCAGCGGCCCAGAGCTTCCACTGGCCCTCGCTGCCACCCCAGCTGGAGGCTGAGCTGTTTCTCCCCAGCATGGGTACAAGGCCCCGGGAGGAAGGGAAGCTGGCCACTTTCTCACTGTTAGGGTCACTGAGCCCAGAGAGAGGCAGGGACTTGCCCGGGCCATGCAGCAGGCTTGGGGAGGCCATTACCCCGGTGGGTCTGTGAGAGTTCATAAAAAGCCCGGAGGAGATTCTTCGTGTGTTCCGTCATCCCTGGGGAGGAGACCCAAATCATGAGGATGGGGGCACATGTCACAGGCCACACAGGCCAGGGCACAGCCCCAACCTCCACCCCATTCAGGCCTTCACTGGTACTGGAGCCACTGGGTCTTCCCACAGCCCCACCAAGAGGCCCCTCATTCAGGGGACTGGGACTTTGTGTGATGCAGGACGACACGGCCTCTCAGAGGCTGCACCTTTGGGAGCACAGGGATTCTGGGGACTCATAAGTTTAGAGGTCCTGGAATTTCTCAGGTTGGCCTCCCTGCCTCCAAGGCCACTCTCTCTGGACAGGTTCCTAGGCAGAGCCAGGGCCGGGCGCTTCCTATCCAAAGCCTCACGCACCTTTATACAGCTCAGCCGTCCGCTCCAGCTCCTCCAGCCTCTTCACCAGCCCATCTGTGGGGTTCAGAGAACAGCTGAAGTCAGGTCAGAGGTGAGGAGCGTGGCCTGAGGAGGCCAGGGCAGGGGTGGGGACGAGGGGCGGGCCCAAAAAACTGGCTTCTACACAAGATGGGGGCCCAGGCACCCCAGGGTCGGCAGTTCAAGAGTGATCTGTAAATGGCCTCGGCACCCAAATGAGAGGCGAGCAGGGGACTTGCTCCTGGGATGAGTCCCCACTCCACCCACTGGGGCCAACCCCGGAGCACAGGTCCTTCCAAAGGTCTTCAGTGCAAAAACATTGGGCCCCCCAAGATGAAGCCGGTGAGCAGCTCCCCGTGCTGTAGGAGGCAGGCTCTTGGTGAGCAGCCAGGCCTCTGGCCCTGCTGACACAGCCCAGCCAGGCAGGGGACAGGCAGGGGACAGGCAGGGAGATCTCAACCCTTTCCCAGGCAGGCTGGGAGCGGTTGCTGCCATGGCAAAGCACGAGGCGGCTGGCAGGTCAGACAGGAGGCAGAGGAGCGGGGTCTGGGAAGGGCTGGCACTGGGTGTAGGACTTGGTGGCCCAGCTGTTGGCTTGGCAGGCATCGGCCAAGCACCAGCCATGTGCTGCCACCGTGTCAGGCCCAGGGAATGACTAGGGTGAACATGATCCAAGTCCTGCTCTAGGCTCCAAGAGCAGAGGCACAGGGAGAAGTGGGGGCCCATAGCCTCACAGAAGGGCCGCCCAATGGGAGGACACAGATGACCAGGGATGGGCGGGATTCCAGCCTGGGGAGGGGGCAGTACAGGGAGCACACAAGGCCAGCCAAGGGCCAGCCTGAGGAGGAGCCAGAACTCCTCCAGCCAACAACTGCCACCCTCCCCAGGGCTCCCAGCAATCCCAGATAGGTCTCCACCTGGTGAGGACATAGGGCACACACGCCTCTCCATGGGGAGCAACGTAAGGGACAAGCCTGTGCTGGTGGCTTCTTTATGCAGCCACCTCCCAGGGCAGGCTGGGCCTGTAACAGCATTTGTACCCACAGCACAGACCACTGGGCACCAGGCCCACTGGAGGCTCCCTGGGCAGGTCTCAGTCCTCCTTAGTTTGAGCTGCTGGGACAGGAACTACTTCCCCCATTCTACTGAGAAAACCAAGGGACAGAGAGGTAAAGCAATTTGTCCCAAGTCACACAGCTGAGAAGGTCTAAATCGGGGTCTTCTTGCTCCCTAGTGTCCTGTACTGACCAGGGTTAGGGTCTTCAGAGCAGGAAGAGGAGGGGGGAAGGTGGCTGGGGAGTGGGCTGCTGGGGAGGAAGGGTACCCTAGAGGTCTTTGGGAGGCCCTGGCTCCCTGGGCCTGAGCACGTGGCCGGCAGGAGAGGAGCCGTGTAGGCACCCGCTGTTGTTTGTAGCTGGGTCATGGGACATCATGACAGCTTTGATTTTAGAAACCCTATTTATGGCTAGGGAAATTGCAAGGTTTCGGGGGAAAAACACAACAACCAGTTCTAATTTCATCTCAACGCATGGTCGCTACGGGAACAGGATTTATAGGCACCAAGAGGCCCAAAATAGCAGCCACCACTTTTGTACCCCATTTGGAACAGGCTCAGGCCCCACCCCCACGGCCACAGCCACAGCCAACAAAGCCCAGCGTGCCCAGCTGAGCCTACAGTTCTCAGGTCTCTCTCCCCGGCCATGGCACAGCGGTGCTATTTATGAGCCCGGCTGGCGATGGAGGGAGCGGCCTATGTCTCTCTGGCCTCCCCAGGACAGAAGGCGTGCGTGTACCCGTGTGTGTACACGCGGGCATGTGGCTGCTCCCCGCCCGGGTGGCCACCTCCACAGCCAGCCTGGACAGGGACCAGAGACAAGGGTAGCAGCGCCACCTCCTGGGGAAGTGAGGGGCTGATGAGGCAGCGGGAACCAGGATGCAGATGGGGAGCGGGCTCTCAGGCTGGCCCTGGCTCTCGGCCCCCAGCCTGGAGAGGTGGAGGAGGCACCTGACCTGAGTCTCTCCTCCTCTGTGATCTGAGGGGCCCTGGTGGTGAGGGTGGCCCAGGTGACAGCTGTGGGAGCTCTCTGGGAACCAGAAAGGCCTCCAGGGACACAAAGAGATGGTGACTATCAGCCCCTCAGGCAGAGGCAGAGCCCGGCCAGCAGGACCCATACCAGCCTGGCAGGCAGCCATAGTGCCCCAGCCCACGGGCCTGAGTGAGAGTCCTTGCGCCAGAGCTGGGTGGGACAAGGGGACTCACCATTGCACAGGATGGCCCGGCTCAGGCCCAGGGCATCAGCCGTCCCTGAACTCATGTTCTCCACCAGCCGGTGCTTGACCTTCTTCAACACTGGGGCCAGGAGAGGAAGGACCCAGTGAGTTGCTACTGAGCCCCAGGCCATCCCTGTCCTGGGTCCCCTCACAACTGGCTGAGAGCTGGACTGGGGCTCGGACTGGGAGTCTAGGAAGCAGCAGTGTCCAGGGGGGATGGCCTGCACTCTTCACCCCCCACTTCGGGGGGCTGGCAGGCTGGGGGAGGTAAACGTGGGGTGTGCGGCCCAGGGTCCACCTCACGCCAGCTGCTGGCATCACTGAGGGCCCAGATGGCCCAGGCTCAACAACAGCCACCAGGCCAGTCAGGAGCCTGTCCCTCGCCCTCTTCGCTTTTCATCAGGACTTAGAGTGGCCCCTACGAGGGAAAGGGGAAGGGTCAGTGTCTGTGCTGGTTACATCAATGTTGTGGGTGCCATCGGGACCACTGGCCTCAGGCTCAGTCTCAGTTATGGCTTCTGACCAGCTCAGTGCCTGGAGGGATCCTGGGACAGAACCCAGGGGTGCTAAGAAGGAAGCTCCAGACTGACTTGATTTGCCCTTTGCCTTTTGCCCTGACCCAGGAGGTGGCTCTGGACCTAGGCATGGGGTGGATGTAGGCTCATGTGGGTGTGCGCTCATGAAGGGGTCACTGAGCCTCCTCTGGGACTCGGCCTTTGTTCCCTAATGTGTGTGTGTGTGTGGGGGGGGGGGCTGGTCCAGAAGACTTTGAAGCTGTTGTCCCACTGGTCCTTTATTTTACTTTTGTGCCAGGAATCTAACCCGGGGCACTTTACCACTAGCCACATCCCCAGCACTTTTTTACTAAGTTGCTGAAGCTAGCCTCTAACTTGCAATCCTCCTGCTTCAGCCTTCTGAGGCACTGGGATTCCAGCGTGTGCCACGACGCCTGGCCCCTCTTATTCTTAAAGCTTCTACAGAACCAAAGCCCAGCCCCTCTGGCAGGAGGCACCCTGTCCCAGAGCATGCTGTGGGAGATGGGCTGGCCTATGACCTTCTACCCAGTGGCTAAGGTCTGTTCTAACCCTGCATCTTCCTGGGAGCAGAAGGCAGGGAGGGGGTCAGGGAGGAGGGGTGGGCAGGTGGACACGAGGCACTGGCCAAGGCTGGCTGCCTCCCTTTCTGGACTGCAGTAAATCCAAGCGGCCTACAGAGGACAACCCTAAGACAGCAAGCTCTCAGCGGGGCTAGTTAGGGGATAGGGTAAAACTGGGCAGTGAGACACGGGGACAGGTCAGCCACAGGGAGAGTACCCCAGGTCCTGCCAGGCCTTTCAGACTGTCAGAGACCACAGCCACAGAGCTACTGATGACTTCATAAGGAGGATGGGAGCTCCTCTGTGTAGGGCTGGGGTTGGTGGGCAATGGCACCGCTGCTCTGGCCAGCTTACCAATGTCCAGGGACATGCCCTGCTTGGGGTCCGCCTGCAGCTTGTTGTAGTGGATGGTCACCTCCCCCTGCAAAAGCAGCACAGGCAGCATGTGACAAGGCTCTTGAGTCCCAGGCCCCTCCCTGAAGCCTTCTTTATTTGTGCCTAGTGCTAGGACACCTAGGAGAAGGGGCCAGGGACAGCCAAGCCCTGGGGCCCCGTCCATCAGGGGAGGTCAAAGAGAATCAGAGAGTCACAAGAGTTGTGTTCCAGCGCTGAGAGGGGAGGGCTTCTCTGCAGAGCTTGGACTCCTCCACGAAGCCCTCCCTGACCACAGGCCACAGCGGCCACTCGTCGTTATAATCCTAAGGCACTTGGACTTGGGACTAAATCCACCCGAATATAAAACAGAATTTAAAACTCCGTCCCCAGTGGGAATGGAAATGAGCCAGCACAGCTGGAATCAGGAGCGGGTGAAACCGCTTAGGAGGCTGCGGGACGCTCTGCAGAACCAGCCCACGGAGCAGCTGGGGTAAAGGAGGCTGCCGTGGGGGGAGGCTGGGCCCAGGACCGGTTCACGCAGTTGAGCCAGTTTAGCAGGTCACTTCCTCCTCTGGACACCAGTGAAGTGTGGGGCAGCGACTCCTGCCTGGCACTCAAACTTGAGAGTTGGGGGAACCATGTTCAGGCCAAGGCTGCGTAGGAACAGGAGCCCCGTCCTCACGGCAGCACAAGGGGCTGGGGAGACAGGCCTGCGGGGACAGGTCCACGAGCCCGTAGCAAGGAGCCGGAGGAAGGGGCTGCTGGAGGGGCACATGCCTCCCACACCGGGTATGCATGGAAGGCCGCCTGTCACCTGTGGCCACCAGGTAACGCCTGTGACACAGCCGTGCAGTGGTGGCTATGGGCTCAGTGAATCTGGCTGCTGCCTTTAGCAGCTGGAGCCCTGAGGCCCAGTCCCTGGCTTCTTCCTTGGCTGAAGGGGTGCTAGAAGGCGGCCTCGCAGAACTGGAAGCCTGTCCCTGAGGTAGGAAGGCACATGGGGATGACTTGGCCACACAGGGCCTTGGGGGAGAAGCCACAGAAGGGGCTTCCGGGTGGAGCCAGAAAAGGGACGTGGGGAGGTGGGAGCAGCCCTGGTCCCAGCGTGGAGTGGGAGTGCTGGGCCTGGGGCAGGGCGGCAGCTAAACCACTGAGCCAGCCTCTTCCACGGTGGGCTGTGCCTGCCCCCAGGGCCTGCCAATCACCCTGCTCCCTGCCTCACGCTGCTTCCTTCACTGTACCAGTTTCCCAAGAGCCACCAGCAGCCAGATGTTAGGAAGTGGCAGAAGGGCCTTGGGCTCACTTCCAAAGTGGCCAGGCTGCTGCCTGCTGCGCAGGGAGGAGGTCCCTGTAGAGACCAATATGGCCCCGCTAACATTAGTAGGATCTACTATCCAGGGAGGGTCCCCTTGGGCTTTCAGCTTCTGCTCCAGCCCTGACCAGGGACACCATGGTTTGCCCAAGTGCGTCAGAACCCCCAAGAGTGGCGCCCCACAGATGCCTTGTGTCCTGGGGCTCTTTCACCAGGCCCAGCACAAGCACAATATTAGTATTTACTGAAGAAAGGAGGGAGAAACGGAGGGAGACCCGGGTGTACCCCTGACACTGTGATACCAGGAGGGGAGCAGCGGCCCCCCTGCAGTCTGCACGGAGGGCTCAGAGCAGACCTGGCGGCTCCAGGCCCCACCGCAGCGGCCTTACCTTCACCTCCTGAATCATCTTGGCCACCTCCACCTTGGTTTTCCCCTTGATTGACCTGCCATTGACGCCGGTGATCTCATCGCCAGCTGCCACCGTGCCATCGAGGGCCGCAGGTGTGTTGTCAAATACCTGAAGATGACGTGGGGGGCGGGGGGGGGGGACACGACACAACGGACTGAGGTGAAGCTGGGAGACGGTCATTCCCTCCACCCACACTGCCTGGTTCAGTCTCCAGCTCTGCCCTGTGGCTTCTTGTGTAGACCAAGCAAGGGAGGGATGACCCCACGTTCCTGAAGAAGGACAGGACATAAATCTGAACCGACGAGACATTCCTTTTCTAATGGCAAATACACCAACCGTCACACATCCATGTGAGGGTTTGCTCCTCCAATGTTACCTCTTGACTCAGCATCCCAAAGCGCCTCTTATCAATTCTATACCTCACTTTGGTCCCCAAAGAACAGTCCATGTCTGTCATGAACAGGGGCCCCAAATGCCTGTGAGCCCCTAATCCCAAGTGACCCCTTCAATAGGATCCAAGCCCACTGGCTGTGTGAGGCTGTGTGTCTGCTGCTGAAGATCAGAACTACAAGTGACACAGCAGGGAGAGTCGGCCACCTGGTGTACAGCAGACTGTACCCAAGAAGCCACCAGGAGAGAGGCCCGCATCATCAGCAGTGGTTCTGATATTGTATTCCTTCTGCCCTACCTGCAATTTCTAAATTTTCTACAAAAAGAAAAAGAATGCTTCACAACTTATAATATTACAAGGAAAAATAAGATAATTAAGATGTACATTTCTGCTGCATCCCAGAATCACACTGAAAACAACAGTGAAAGACAGGTACGACAGGTACGATGAAACACTGCTCAAAGTAATAAAGACAAGTAATCGGAAGTGCATCCCACGTTCACGGCTGGGCAGCCCGAGCATCCCTCAGATGACACCACCACCCTAAGCAATCCACAGAGTCGGTGCGAACACTGTCAAAATCCCAAAGAGATTTTTATTTTTTTTTAAACAGAAATAGAAAAATCCACCCTAAAATCCACCTGGAATCTCAAGGGACTGCAAAGGCTAAAACAATCTTGAAAAAGAAAAACAAAGCCGGGAGACCCAGAGTTCTTGATTTCCCAAGTTTCTACAAAGCTACAGTAATTAAAACAGAACAGTACCGGCATAAAGGCAGATGGACAGACCAAAGGAACAGAACAGAGAGCTCAGAAATACACCCTTGTGTATACGGTCAAATGATTTTTGACAGGAGCCAAGAACATTCAATGGGGAAAGGAAAGTCTTTCAACAGTGGGTGCCGAGGGAAAGGGGATCCACATGCAAAGAATGAAGCCTGTCCGTGGCCTAAAATAATACGCCAAGTCTAACTCAAACTGGATCAGCAACCTAGACGTAAGACTAAGACTGTAAAACTGAGAGGAAAACAGAAGCTTCAGCCCAGGGATTTGGCAATGACTTCTTGAATATGACACCAAAGGCATGGGAAACAAAGAAAGAACACAAACGAACTTTGTGAAAAAAGTTTTTTGGTTGTAGATGGACACACTAACTTTATTTATTTATTTTTATGTGGTGCTGAGGATCAAACCCAGTGCCTCACCCGTGCTAGGCAAGTGCTCCACTATTGAGCCACGACCCCAGTCCAAAAGATTTTTAAAATCTGTGAATCAAAATCCACTATCAGCCAGGTGCAGTAGTGCACGCCTATAATCCCAGTGGCTTGGGAGGCTGAGGCAGGAGGATCTCAGGTTCAAAGCCAGCCTCAGCAACAGTAAGGCGCTAAGCAAGGCACTGAGATCCTGTCTCTAAATAAAATACAAAATAGGGATGGGGATGTGGCTTAGCAGTTGAGTGCCCCTGAGTTCAATCCCTGGTAGGAAAAAAAAAAAAAAACCACTATCAACAGAGTAAAAGTCAATCCACAGAATGGGAGAAAATGGCATTTGATAAGATATTAATATCCAAATATACAGAGAACTAACAACAAAGCCAACAACCCAACTCAAACATGGGCAAAGGACTGAACAGAGATTCTCCAAAGAGACATAAGTGGCCTGTAAATACAGCGGATGCTCAATCTCACTAATCACTGGAGAAATGAGAAGCAAGGCCACCAGGAATCACCACCTCACACCCATCAGGAGGCTGGTGCAGACCACAGAGAAAATAACACATGCTGCGAGGATGCGAGAAACGACCTTGTGCGCTGTTGGTGGGAACGAATAGCCACACAGGCCTGTGGAGGGAAGCACAGCGCATCCTCAGAAAACTAAAAACAGAACGGCCCTCAGCCCAGCAATTCCGCTCCCAGGTGGACACGAGAAGAACTGAGAGCAGGGTCTTGAGGAGAGCTCTGTGCAAGCTGGCTCAGAGCAGCCCGGCTCACAACAGCCATGAGGTGGAAGCAGCCCAGACGTCCACCAGGGGAGGACCGGCCAAGCAGCGTGTAGTGGAACATTCCTCAGCCTTTGAGGGGAAGGACCTCCTGACACATACCATGCCACGGAGGAACCTAGAGGACATTACAGTAAAACATTCCAGGAACAAAAAAACACCACCCACGATTTCACTTGCACGAGGGCCTGGAGCAGTCAGAACCAGAGGCAGAAAGTGGAATGGGGCTGCTGGGGACTGAGGGGGCGGGTTGGGGAGCTCATGTTTAATGGGTGTGGAGTTTCAATGTCATGAGATGAAGGGCTCTGGACAGTGCCAATGGCTGCACCACACTATGAAGATATTTAATACCGGTGAACTGTGTAGTTAAAAATGGTTAGGATGGGGCTGGGGTGGTGGCTCAGTGGCAGAGCGCTTGCATGTGCGAGGCACTGGGTTCGATTCTCAGCACCACATAAAAATAAATGAATAAAATAAAGATCCATCAACATCTAAAAAAATATTTTAAAAAAATGGTTAAGATAGTCAAACATGGTGGCACATGCCTGTACTCCCAGCAGCTCGGGAGGCTAAGGCAGGAGGATCACAAGTTCAAGGCCAGCCTCAGCAACTCAGTGAGGCCCTCAGCAACTTATCGAGACCCTGTCTCAAGGATAAAAAATAAAAAGGGCTGGGGATGTGGTTAAGCAACCCTGGGTTAACCCCGGTGCCCCCCCCCCCCACAAAAAAAGAAAAAAGCTTACGATGGTAAAGTTTATGTATTATGTTATGTACATTTACTACAATTAAAAAACTGCAAAATGGAAGAGAGAGCAAAGACCATGGAGGGCAGGATGTCCTCTATTAGTAACACAAAAACTCTCATGTACAAGAGAGCAGTGCTCTGAGGAAGCCGTCCCCTGGGGAGCCAGCCCAGACAACAAAGAAGGCCCATGCCAGCAGTGGTCCCCGTGACACCTCAGGACCCCAGGGGTGAGGAGTTCCCAAAACCCTTGACAGAGCAATAACAGGCACATTAGAAATAAAGGGTCTCCAAAGAGAAGGGCGATAGCTCGGAGGCCACAGGGAGGAGGCCACGCCATCAGACTTCTAGTCAAACAGGCTTCTGGCCTGACATTTATTCTTTTTAAAAAAATTTTTTTTAGTTACACGTTACACAATAACTTTGTTTATTAATTTTATGTGGTGCTAAGGATAGAAACGAGTGCCTCATGTGTGCAAGGCAAGTACTCTGCCACTGAGCCACAACCCCAGCCCCTGACATTTATTCTTTTTAAAATAAATTTATTTTATTTTTTATTTATCTATGACAGCAGAACTAATTCTTATTACACATATAAAGCACAATTTTTCATATCTCTGGTTGTATACAAAGTATATTCACACCAATTCATGTCTTCATACATGTACTTTGGATAATAATGTCCCTCACGTTCCACCATCATTTCTGACCCCACGCCCCCCCCCTTCCCCTCCCACCCCTCTGCCCTATCTAGAGTTCATCTATTCCTCCCATGCTCCCTCTCCCTACCCCACTATGAGTCAGCCTCCTTCTATCAGAGAAGACATTTGGCATTTGGCCATTTGGGATTGGCTAACTTCACTTAGCATTCTGACATTTATTCTTGAGTCTGATAAGCCAAATGTCAACTGAAAAGAATATGGAAGTGACAATGTCAAAAAAAGATGTGAGGGCATTCAAAGACAAAGATCTCAAAGCTGATCTTCCACACAACCTCTCTCAGAAAGCTATAGGCCAGTCTCCACCCAGACAGGGACCCTGGAGAAGAGGATTCCAAAAGAGGACAGGGAGGGAGAGGGCCCAGGGCGCGGTGGGGAGATGGGGGCAGAGAACAGACGGTAGGAGGATGGGGAAGGTCTGAGTGGAAGGCGTACCGAGAAAACCAGGAGACTATCGTGAAGAAAAGGAAAGAGAGGCTGAGCTAAGAAGAGAAACAGGTTTCTTAAAAAGTTCAACACAGAGCCACAGGATGAAAGCTCAGGAAGCAAGGGGCTTGTCTTCTCCATCTCTTCAACCCCTGTCACTGCAACAGAGCTGCCAGGCATTCAGAAAAGATCTGCTGAGCAAAACACCTGTCGAACTTAGTGTCTTAGCCCAAAATGCCAAGATGGCCATGAGGGGAGAATGGAGCGGGAGGGAGCAGAGTGCACCAGCGCAGGCCACCGACCTTCACAGGTGATAGACGAAAAGCAACGGGACAAGCGCCCTGAGACAAGTGCGGCCCTGTGTGAAGAAACAGCGAGGGGGTGGGGGGCAGGGAGCCGCAGCCACACACAGGCCTTTCAGTGCTCTTGACGCGTCAGAGGCAAGTCAGATGGTACTTTGATAAAAACAAAATTGAATTTTAGAGGAGACATTCTAATAGTTTATAATCCCAGTTCATATTACACAAACCCGCCCACCAAGTCTCCAACAGACGGGGAGAGGGAGGTACCAGAGAGGCTGAACAGGCACATGGCAAGAAGACCAGGCCTGGAAGAGGCCTCTCTAGAGCCTCCTGGGTCAGAGGAGGCCAAGTTCACACCCTGGGCAGAGACATGACCAGAGGATCCTCCCAAAAGCCATGGTGCCCACGTCCCCCAATGGCTACTTGGCCAGGAGGGCTGAAACAGCTACAATCCAGACCTTCCAAGGCAATAGAAAAGTCACTGACTAACTGCCACATGGTAAGGAGACCTCCCAGCAGGATTGTCCCCACTCCTATGTCACAACTGATAGAAAAACATCAGGGCAGCTCCCTCAGCAGGGACCACAAAGTTGTCCATTATCACAGGCAGAGCAGCTAAGGAAATGTGATGTGGCCAGGAGTTGCCAGCTGCTGCTCAGGGAGGGCTTCTTCAGCACCAGTGTATTGTCATTCTGTTCAATTTTTATAAGAATCCAAAGATGTTTATGCCTATGTATTTCAAATCCTCACTTTCTGGGAGAGGAAACAGGCCCAGAGAGGTTAAAGAACTTGCTAGTAATCAGGGAAGCTATTTCATAGCCTTCCCACTTCACTTGGGCTAGCACCCAAGGCTGACAGCTCTGCTGATTCATCAAAGACATTTTCACTGAATGTCCACTGCATGCCAGGCACTGTACCTGGCATCAACAATGGTGAAAAAGCAGACTGCAACCCTGCCCTCATAATGCCAAAAGCCTGGCAGGGCAGCCAGCTGTAGAACAGGTAGCAAGGGAATGATTATAGATGGCGACAAGTGCCACGGGCAAAGAAGGGGTTCAAATGACAGAGAAAAACATGGGCAGCAGCTGGTCCGAAGGCCTTGCTGAGGTCAGATCTCAAAAATGAGAAGGAACCAGGTCCTTCAGAGCAGAACGGTGAACCTGCCCCTGCCATACCCAGTAGGGAGATGACTCCCTCCATCCGGACCCTACCGCCACCTCCAAAGTGCCGGATACCTGGACAATGTACAGGCAGGGACAGTACTGGGCCCCTCCTCCAATGCTGATCCCGATCAGGTTCTGAGCATCCTTCTGCAGGGTCACCTTCCCAGGCACAGTAGGGATTCCACTAGAAAGAGAAGCAAATGAGGCTGAGCCTCCTGGAGGACGGAGCTGGAGGGGGAGGGCCCTCCAACGGCCCACAAGGCACCAAAGGCTGCGCAGCCTCTCCTCTTCCTTACTTGGCCAGAAACAGCAATTTGTGCTAGAACATATGCTGCTCCTGGAGTTGTGCAGAGGTGAAAAGAAACCCCAGCCCTGCCACTGCTCTGCCATGGGACTTGGTAAATCACCCTCTCTGCATCTCAATTTCCTCATCCATAAAACGGGAAGAGTCTCCCTTATCCGGTTCCCACAGAACGGGCATGGAAGGCACCAGGGCCAACCCAGCAGGGCTGTCCCCACTCCTGGGTCACAACTGATAGAAAGTCACCACCTTCCTGCTCTTCCCTGACTTCAAACTTTCAAAAGATTTAGCCAGGCTCTGTCACCTTCGGAGAAACATGTGGAACATTATAACCACCTCTAGAGAGTCTTTCCCTGTTATTCAACTATTCTCCTGCCATCTCTCAATTCCTCTACTCAATTACCCCTCAGTTTCACTATAAATTAGCAGCTATTTACATTCTATGGCAAAAAACATAAGTGTATTAACTTATTCATTCAAAAGACAATTGTTAACAAGCTATTAGTTAACCCAAACCTACTAAGTGCTGAGAACACAGAAAGGCGTTAGACCCAGTCCTTGTCTGAGACTACATTCTAATGAGCAGATAACTCTAATTTTGCAACTCTGTCTTACTAATTATCTATACTGCAGCAAAACCTGGCTGCCTGGCCACCTCTGTGAAGCCTTCCCTGACCACCCAGCAGGCAGAGGCACTGCTCCACCTGCTCTGCTTTCCTTAGCACTGGCCGATGCTGTAGGTGTAATGTGGCCTGCACAGTAGTCGTCTACTAACCTGTCCACAACCCCCTGCGGAAGATGAGCTCCTGAAGGGTAGGGCCTGTTTCTGCTACGGTACACCCGACTCCCCCATTGAGAAGAACGGGTTTGTGGAGCTGGGAAGTTCAAGGAAATGGGGGTCACCTGAGCCCCGGAACTCCTAGGTCTTGTGGGGAACAAAGTACTCACAGTTTATCCTCCTCGATGTCATAATCCAAGTCTGCAAACATGGTTCCGAGAGTCGGGGTGGGCTGGCCAACGGCCTGGCTCGGCAGGGGAATGGGGAACTGGGTCAGGGAAAGAAAGGAGCACAGGGCTCAGGGGACCGGAGTGCCCGAAGGCCGGCCCCAGGCCCCCACACCCCATCAAGGACCCAGGGCCTCCCCGGCCTCGGGCAGGGGGCGCGGCGTGCGGGGTGGGCGGCGGCTCTTACTAGGTACAGGGAGGGACTCCAGGCCAGGGCGGCGGGCTCGGATCCCAGAGCCAGCCCCACGGGTCTCCAGGCCCTTGGGAGCTGCCTCTGTCACTCACGGGAGACTCGGTTCCACAGCAGGGCCGGGGCCGGGCTGGCACCTGAACCCACCTGCAGTTCCACCTGGCGGCGGCCGCAACTGTCGCGTCACTTCCGGCGAGACGCGGAAGTCCCGCCTTCCCCCGGGTACGTGCCCCGGTGGCTGCCGTCCGCCCTTCGCTTCCCGCTCCCCGGCTCTCAGGACCGGGGCAGAGAAAAGCGCTGGAGGGAGCTCGCCTTTGTATGGAAAAGCGGAAACAACGGAGACGCCTTCACCGGCCGACAGCGCCGGGCCCCGTCCCTCGCGCGGACGCCGCCATCACCGGAGGGCAGGTCCTCCCGGCTTCCTCTGCGGCACGCTGGGGACCACGCCGGCCCTGGCGGTTGCCATGGCAACGGAAGCATCCCTGGTCCGGAGTTACTTCCGGCCGAGTTCAGTGGACCACACACTCGGAGACCTTGCCTTTCACGTCGTCACCGTGTCGTCCTAGGAAAAGCCCATGACTTGTCGACTAGAGTGACGGTACCAGAGACGGAAGGGCCCCTGGAGGTCCCAGCCCGAGCCAGCTTGGCAGACAAGGAAACGAAGTACCAGAGAAAGGAAGTCATTTTGTCCAGAGCCACAAGGAGTTGGAGGAAGATCTAGATCCTGGCCGCGAGCACCCCTGCCGCCGTTGGCGCCTCGGTTTCCCCCGCCCTTCCCTTCCTCCTTTACCGCTGCGCACATCCCCAGCTCTTTTTATTTTTGAGACTAAGTTGCCCACGCTGGCCTCAAACTTGCCATCCTCCTGCCTCAGCCTCATGAGTAGCTGGATTACAAGCGTGTGCAGTGTGCCCAGGTGTCCAGTGCCCTTTGAACACTCACACTAAATCTGGATCCAGGAGAGGTGTATTCACTTCTGATAAGGACTGATTGGACTTGTCACTTTTTCTTTATGAGCCTCAGTTTCCCCATATACAAACTAATGGCATTGAGTAGATGCTTTCCGTGGTATTTGGTGAAAGATTCCTCATACCCCACTCCTTCCCTAAGTCCTGAGTACACTGAGGTGACCTTAGCCTCCACGTCTCTGAGACTCAACAAACGCCATCAATGTTTCCCAGTGGAGGAATCCGCATCTTATCTTCCCACTTGATATTATGTAAAACGGGTTCCCTGGAGGAGGTTGGCTGTCACAGGACCACCGCTCTCTTGGTCACCACATTCAGGCTGCATGGGAACCGACTTATCCAGGGTCCTTCCCCAGCTGCCCCAGGGTCCATGAGGGAAGAGGATGCAGAGGGATGATTATCTACATATCCCAGGTCTGATGGAAGCCCTCCCACCCCTTCCGTAGGGAGCTGACCTGAGTTTGGGCAGGTATGCAGAGGGCTGCCGTGGCAACAGCTCTCCCTGTGCCCACTGCTCTGGAGTTGAGATCACTTTCACAGAATTTTAAAGTTCACCACCACCCTGAGAGGAGAGCAAGCAGGGAGACTGAGGCTCAGAAGCAGCTCCGCCTTTTTCACATGCTCTGGGCAGAGCTGGGATCACCAAGCTGGGATCACCTGTTTTCAGGCCACAGTTTCAGTCTTGAAGAATGGCTGCCTCCAAGCCCAGGTGCTTTAATGTGGATTGTGGCTCTTCCACCCACTCAGCCCCAGCTCAAGCCCGGGCCCTGCCATTTTGTAGCAGATTGTGGGCAAGTCACAGCTAACTCTGAGCCTTGAATGGGAAAATAGTCCCTCCCACAGATATTTGTGAAAGTCAAGATTAAAAGGAGAAACAGGTTTGAAGTGCTTTGTAAACAATTCATATGACACAGATGTTTCCAGAACCTCCAAACCCCCAACCTATTCTGTTCCCTCCCCGCCCCCATTTCTGCCTTGTCTCGCACCGTCCCCCAGGCTCAGCTGCCATCCCTCTCTCTCAGCAGCCTCAAATCTGGTTCCTTTCCCTGAAGCTCCTGAAGCAGTTATTATTTGGATCATTCTTTTGGCAACTTTGTCTTGTGAAATCCTTTGATGGTTTCCCTGAACCTCTTCTGAGGGGATTGACTTATTACATGCTGTATTTTGTGGGGGGAGGATTTTTTCCCCTTTAAAACTGGGGCTTAGCGGGCTGAGGATGTGGCTCAGTAATAGAGAACATGTGAGGCCCTGGCTTCAATCCCTCAGTGTTGAAAAAATGAGAATAATTAAAATTCAGGCTTAGGATTCATATCCTGAGAAATTGTAAAATACTTCTCCCAACTTTCTCCTTCCTGGGCTTCCTTCTCTACTGACTTTACCATCCCGGGATTCCTGTCTTCCATAGATGCTAGGAATCCATCAACAGACAAACAAGAAAAAGGAAACCAGATTTCTTTGTAATTAATACCATGACCCACTTTATTTATTTATTTATTTTTGGTGACTGGCTTTCCTGGGTCAGCCCACCCAGCACAGGAACACGTTCTGGCCAATTGAGGAGGCCTGATTGGGACCACAATTTATCTGAGGGGTAAGAGCTTTCAAGTACCTTGCTTCATCAGCAAAGTAAATGCTTCTTGTCTTCCCAACTGGACAGAGACCCTGGCAGTGTCCCAGATTTTCTCTATGAAGCTGGAATCACCAGACTAAGGAAAGGTCCTGAATTTTGGATTTTGAGAAACAGTTTCCAAATCTGGAGACCTGCATGCAGACCATCGCCCACCCTCCCCAGGGGTCTGGTTTCAGGTCGGGATAGTGGACAAGGTCACCCTTGAGCCTCAGGTTCCCGTGGAGCGATAGTCCTCCCCAGAGAGCAGCTACAAAGAAGAAGATAAAAGGGAAATGCTGCTCTGTGAGCGGTGAGTGGCACGTGTCAGAGGTTTGCACTGTCGCTCTGAAGGGTAACTGTTTTGCCAGTCACTTCAGAAGGCAGGGCCACTGGTGCCCGGGTCTTGGCATCAGACCCTTTCAGGAACCGTCCTAAATGTATTTTCCTGGCTCCATCTCAGACCTGTGGACCTGAATCTCTGGGGAGAGGGAGACCCCGGAGTCTGCATTTTCTCAAAGCTCTAGGGGTGACATCCTGCCAAGAGCGGTCTGCACACCACTGTGTCGGAGGCCCAGGGTGCACAGCATTTCCACACCTGGGGTCGGGCTGTTTAAGGCACCAGGCGTCCCTGTGGGGCCAGGTTGTTGTGTGGTCCTAGAAGCGGAGCAGCTGCCAGAGCCGCAGGCCAGGCTCCCTGGAGGAAGGGCATCTGCAGTCCTGAAGGAGGTGCTGGTGCTGCCCAGGCAGAGGGAGGGCAGGTGCACAGGCTTCGGAGGCAGGATGTGCAGGTACAAGGCACAGTCCCTGCCATCAGGGAGTCACAGTCTGTGGTGTGACGGTGACTGACAGGAGGTGGCTGTTCTGCCAGTCCTTAGGGAGGCTCAGGGTGAGCCCACCTCTGTCAGCATGGTGGTGAGGAAGGTCAGCCAGGGCCTCGGAAGGCAGTGCTGCAGTTCCTTCCTCGAGGAAGCGAGGGGTTCTGGGAGTTGACCCAGGGGGAGGACAGCTACCCACTGCAGGGAGCTGAGCGGGGCTGGAGCTCCGAGCCTCTCTCCCAGCGTCTCTTTCTTCTCCCCATTGCTGCTCCTGTCTCTCCAGGAAGGCGGGTGATCTTTCACCCAGCCCAGCCCTGCCACTGAAAGCTGTGAGAAGGAGGTCAAGTTGCAACCCCTCTCTGGGCCTGGGTTCCCACCAGGACTCCATCCCTATGACCCCCAGCCTCAGATTCAATGGCAAGAGGTGGCCCGCCAACTCTTTCCCTGAGGAAGTGCTGCCACCTGGTGGCTGTTAGGAGAAATAGCTCCTGGGAAACCAGAACCGCCACCATCCTCTCTGGTGCTGAGCCTGGAGACTGTAGTTTAAGGATGATGGATGAGGCTGGTGTCAACAGCTGGGCTGTGCCTAACTACTGGCCCCTAGGTCATCACTGTTCCCCAGCACAAGGTCTGCAATCCTCACCGTCTGACCTGCCACCCAGCATCGAAGTCTTCTGTAAATAAAGGTCAAGAAACCTAGGGTGAGCCAGGTGCGGTGGCTCACGCCTTTAATCCTAGCAGCTCGAGAGGCCGAGCAAGGCAAGAGGATCGAGAGTTCAAAGCCAGCCTCAGCAATGGCGAGGCACTAAGCAACTCTGTGAGACTTTGTCTCTAATAAATTCAAAATAGGGCTGGGGATGTGGCTCAGTGGTCGAGTGCCCCTGAGTTCAATCCCTGGTACCCCCACCCCCCCCCCAAAAAAAAAAAAACCAAGGGTGGGTCATGAGGATTCAGTTCACCAGCTGCCTGGAGGTGAGAGTGTGGTTTCCAAGCCCAAGGGGACTAACAGCAGAACCAGCAGCCCGGCCTAGGAGCGCCGGCCATGGCTAGAGCCTCCCATCCACCTGGGGTCTGACTCCTTCGCTCCTCCGCGCACTGTCCAGTGGACATGTAGTGAGCATCTACCATGTCCAGGTCATGAGGACACATCCAGGAAGGAGACAAGCTCACAGGACGGGCAGGCAAGGGCCCGTTAAACAAGGAAATGGGCCAATTTGGGCTGCCACTGGCCTCCAACCAGAACCAGACCCGGAGGCATGTGCCTGACTCTGGGACCCTAGCGGGGGAGGGAGAGAGCTGTCAGAACAGCTCAGAGCCCATTGGCTACTTGGGCAGATTGAGGGGTCCAGAGGGGCCCAATGATAGAGGTGGGGGCACTGTCTCCATCCCCCAGCTTGACTTAATGTGGGAGAGGGGACAGCATGACAGGGCGGCTGGGCAGGAGAGGAAGAAGGGAAGCTCCAGGTGGGCCAGTCTGGGGGACAGTGGGTCTGCCAGATTTCCTAGGGGCAGGAAAGTGTCCCCCCCCCCCGCCGGGGCTGGCTGGGGAGGGGACGAGGGCTGCTTGCTTCTTTCCCGAAGCCGTCCCTAGCTTCCCGGGGGAGCCGGGGTCTCACCGCCCTTGGTCACAGGGCTGCCCTCTCCTCTCTCCTCACTGGCTGCCTCTGGTCAGCTGCCCTCACTAGAGGTGGACCCGGGCCTCCGTGGGGCCCAAAGTCCCTGCAGCCACCCCCAGGAGGCTCCATTCCTAGCTCAGCTTGGCCTGTGGGCTGACCTCTGACCTGGC